TGTTATACCATTTGAAGTTCCAAAAGAAGCATCACTTGAAGTTCCAATAGTTTTGTTCGTTGACAATCCAAGTGCATTGCCAATCCAGAAAAGAATTCAGCAACCAACTCCCATTTAACATACACCTTGGTTTGAAATTTCCTTTCATCTTGTCAGTAGTTTTCTATTTACATGTTTTGATTTATTTTGTAGCAAATCGATTCATGTCTATGGTATTATCTTATCAATTTTTGATGACAAGGTCATTCGAGAATGCTTATGGACGAGGCAAAAGATCAAGGATGATTATTCTAACCATGAAATTACAGAAATTTTCTTTGATTTGTAGGACAATCTAAAAGACACAACTTGTCATGGGAAAGAGCCAAGAGGCGTGATTGATAAAGGCTTAAAGGACATGACTCTTCAAGAACCTAAGGATGTGACTCTTCAATCAAAGGACATGATCCTTGGAGGAACAAAGAATATGTCTTTTAGAATGCCAAAAGTTATGAACGTTCAAAGCAACATCTCTTGTGATTCAAAAGATATCACTCTTGGCCATCCAAAAGATGTGAACAGGGAGTATACTTTCAACCTAACAATGATTCATAATTCCCTTACATATGAAAGTTTTCTTTCTTTTTAGGACAAGGAGGTTCAAGGTACTAATTCAAGGTTCATAACTTTTCACAAGGATCATTTCATAGATATTTTTGAAAGGGAATGTCTTGAACAAGTTTCTATTGAATGGATACATTTTGAAAACAAATCAGCAACGTTTGAATGGAAAGACATTAAGGAGAATTCACCTTTCGATTTGAGGACAAATTGCCTAAAAGAAGGGGAGGATTATGTGATCCTGTCTAGCTCCAACTTTCTCCATGACTTGATCACACCGTGGATGTTATTCAAAGCTGGTTCTAAGGGAGTTCTTCCTTACTTTATCCTTTATTATTTTCTATATGCATCACATAATGTTATAAGCATGCTTTTGCTCCTAAAACTATGCTTGAATAATAATATGTTATCATTCACTTGCATACTATATGATTTTCATGCATAACATATGTTTTCACGTCTCTACTTAGCTTTATATTATGTTTACATACGTTTTAGATTCATTTATTATGTTTGCATATCATTTACATATCATGAAAGCATGTATTCATTCATCATTAACTCATGTCATGTTATTCTAGCTCATGTTATGTTTACATTAGCTCACTAGCTTTAAATCCATGTTTCTTTAGATCATTTGCATGCATGCATCTATTTTCTAGCTCATATATGTTTTCCTAAAGGTCATGAATGTCGTATGCCTTCTATCTAGCTTATATACATGTTATCTTAGCTTCTAGACAATCATTCATAGCTCATATCACTCAAACATTTCACAACATCATGCATTTTACCTTAAATGAGCTCACACATTGCTTACTTTATTTGTTTGTTGATTCCTATAGGTGAAACACAAAGCAAGGCATATTATGGTAGCTTGGTTAGCTAAAAGGACAAGCATAGTAGCTCACACTAGCTCATGAATGTTATGGTAGCTCATTTCATCACTTAAGAAGCTTCAACTTAGCTGGAGGAGCTAGCATATATCTGAACTTAGCTGGAGGAGAGCTTTGGACCAAATTAATGAAAAGTGGACTATAGGTAGCTGGAAGTACCTGGGAGAGTAGCTGAGGAGCTGAGAAGACCAAAGCTAACTAGCTTGAGTTCATCAAGATATAGCTCACCTAGTTAGCTACCAAGACACTCACTTATCTTACCTTGAAGCTAGTTCATCTCTAGGTTGCCCAAGGACTTCAAGACATCATCCTATGGTTGCAACCTCACCAAACATTGCAAGAAGACCCATGTGCATTCAAGTAGGCTGCCATGTGCATCATTCAACCATGTGCGCTCCATGTGACATCAAATAGGCGCCAAAACACTAAGGGATGCTTCCTATTTGGCCAAAAACTCCTTCCACTTCATTTTGGCACCAAATAACTTCCAAATGCATTCAAAGCATCCTTAAGACCGAACCAACACCTTACCATTCGTCCAAAGCATCATGCACCTTCAAATAGTCATGTATTTAGACAAATAGACATCTAATTATTCGGCCAGCCCTCTCATTTCCTATAAATAGAGTGGCTTGCCAACATTTGTAATCATCTCATCTTATATATAAAAATTACTCTTGTGAGTTATTTCTCTTCAAAGTTCTTTGTGAACTTTATCAATTAAACAAGTATAATTCCTATACTTGTGGCGTCATTCCTTCCATCCTGATTCCTAAATTCCTAGATTCATATCTAGTGGGTTGAAGACACTATCACCACCCCTCAAACAAGTTTGTGAAGACCGGGATTGTGCTCCTTAGCATTATTTCTTCTTTGGCGTGTTTGAGATACAACAACAACCCCATCTTCATTTCATCATCAACACCATCATCTTCATCCATCAAGTCCATCAATTCCGCTACCATCTCTATCCTTTATTTATTTCATTTCATTCCTTATCTTTATCATTTCATTAATTGTCCTTTATTAATCATTTTCCTTTTCTTATCTATGTTGCAGCCAAGCTTATAATTCAAGGACATCAGTACTTGTCAATCCTAGATCGAGACACAATAAGGCTATCTAATCTCTTCTGCTAAAGCGTGTAGATCACCTTGTATCAAATTGTCTTTGACCAGTCCATGCTTGAAGATCATCACTCACGCCTGTTGGAAGAGAACCATAATGATGCACATGTTTTCAGCTTATATTATTGCACAAGAATATTTCTCCAAAACACAGCCATGTGCGTATGAACAGCAACACGTTGGACTCCATTTAGCATCAACTTGAGGAGACATGAGTGTTATACGACCATGAAGAGTTATCTCTCCATTTACACCGAATCATCACCTTAATACCATGATTCTTTTCGGCTAAATCTTTCAAACATCTTAAATAAGCTTTGAAATTTCATTTTGCATCAGAATTTAATGAATTAAAAACATATTTCACTTAATTCAGTTCTTCTTAGAACTATCTTCTTGACATTTCAAGTCTGATCTTGTTGTGTCAAGCCCTTTGATACTTTGGGTTCTTAGATTGCTCTCTAGCGGGCCCAAGTCCTTGAATATTGAACGTATAAGTTTCAGGTTTATACTTGTTAGTATAGGTTCTTCCTTGTTCCTTGTTGTATCCGAATTTCCAGTATCCTAAATTCCATTATCACATCTATCATTCATCCTTCCTTATTCAATTTCGTTCATAGGCATATCCATATAACCCCAACATCATCCTTACTATCAAGTAAGTTTGCTCCAGAGGAATTGCTTACTTCGTTCTAGATCCGGTACAATTGAAGAGGTCCTCAATCGACGGGCTGACTCGTATCATATGGTAATCAGAGCAAAGGTGAACCAAGTAAGAAATTCATCTTGAAAAAAAAAGAATTCCAAAAATTTAAAAACAAAAACAAAAACAAAATTCTGAAAATTAAAAAAAAATAGTTCTGGTCTTGAAATGAAGAGAAATGCTATGATGTTGTGTTCTTCAATATTGAAATGCTTTGAGCTTTGATTCAACCCAAAACGCAGCATCTTTGATTGTATTGGTGACTGTCTCGTTGTAAGCATTTCTTTGTAGTAAGTTTACTAATTATTTTCATCTTTCTTTCTTTGTTTGTCCTTTGAATTTTTAGCCTTCCTTTCATTATTTTCCATTTTCCATTAACCTTTGTTGTTCCTTTAGCCGACACACTTGACAGATTTTTTAAAGATCGAATTTAGTTCGTAAAAGAACTGACTACGGGGGAATGTGTGGAAAAGGCACATTGAGCGTGTGAGATTAGAAGGGGAGACAGAAAAGAGCCATTAAAAGTTTCTCCCGAGTGAAACAAGTGTGTTGTGTGATTGAGTGTCAATTTTGATCTTTTGGAGCGAAATTGTGAGAATCTTTGCGTGTATATTATGAGGTCCTATATACATTAATTATTTTCTTTGTGTGTTGTCTTGTTTTTATTTCATTAATATGACAGGTTTTAGTAATAACAATCCGGGTGACAAACCACCAGATTTGCAAATGCAAGCCATTACTATTGTGATACAAAGGATGATAAGGGCTGAACTTGAGGCTCTACATTCTAGAATGGATAAAATTAAGGGAGAGTCACAAACTCATCATAATGAAGAGATTAATGATGAAAACGAAATTGACCAACCTCCAAGACAAAATCAGAGACATGGACGTACACTTGATGATAATTTGGCTAACATAAAAGTTGTAATTCCATCTTTTCAGGGACGAACAGATCCTGATGCATATTTGGCGTGGGAGAGTAAAGTTAAGCATGTTTTCGAGTTTTATAATTACTCGGAACAAAAGAAGATTTGTTTGGCAGCAATGAAGTTTGTTGATTACGCTCTTATTTTGTGGGATCAATTGCTGATCAGTAGACGAAGAACCGGTGAGGATCCAGTGAACACGTGGGCATAAATGAAGCGAATCATGAGGAAACGGTTTGTTCCATTTCATTATCAACGTGATTTATTTCAGAAGTTACAAAACTTGAAACAGGGTAATCGAAGTGTTGAAGATTACTTCAAGGAGATGGAAATGGCCATGATGTGTGCAAATATCGAGGAAGATAAAGAAGCAACTATGACACGTTTTCTTGCAGGTTTGAATTTTGAAGTTGCTAACGTTGTTGAGTTACAGCATTATGTCGAGTTGGATGACATGGTGCATATGGCAATCAAAATAGAAAGACAACAACGTAGAAAATCTTCTTACCGAGGTAATACTCCTTCTAAAGTTTCCTTTAATCCATTAGTTACTCCTAACAATGCTAGGAAGCAAGAACCACTTAAGATTAAGGAAAGAGCGGAAACAAGTAGTCCAAAACCTCCTGTTGTTGAAGATGGACGTGGAAAGTAACATATAGAACTAGAACGCACAAGAGACATCCAATGATTCAAATGCCTTGGTAGAGGGCATGTTGCAAGTCAGTGTCCTAACCGAAGGACAATGATGACACATGTGAATGGGGAAATAGAGTTCGAATCTGATTATGATGAGCAAGACACCCCTTTGGCAAACGATGATGAAGATGACGAACAAGTACATACTTATGCAGTAGGTGAAGCACTTGTGGTTAAGAGAAGTTTGAATGCACAACCGATTCGAGATGAGCAGCAGTGCAAGAACATCATTCATACAAGATGTCTTGTAAATGATAAGGTATGTGTTGTGATTATTGATAGTGGTAGTTGTACGAACGTTGCAAGTACTGTTATGGTTGACAAGCTAGGTCTGAAAATGACAAAGCATCCCAATCCATACAAGCTACAGTGGTTGAATGATGTTGGAGAGTTAAGGGTCACTAAACAAGTTCTTGTACCATTTTCCATTGGAAAGTACAAGGATGAAGTACTGTGTGACGTTGTGTCGATGAATGCCACTCATTTTTTGTTAGGACGTTCGTGGCAGTTTGATAAAAAGGCGATGCATGATGGTTTCACGAATAGATATTCTTTTATGAATGCAGGAAAGAAAATCACCTTAGCTCCTTTGACACCAAGTCAAGTGCAAGAAGATCAAGTTTGTTTGAAAAAGAACAGTGAAGAAGCAAAAGGGAAGAAAAAGATAAATGTTTATGCAAGCAGAAAAAAATCAGGAAATGTCTTTCCTCTCAGTAGTCTTTACTTATTTTAATGTATAAAGAACACTGCTTATTGGCTTAAATCCCCAATGATTTGCCTATGTCTATTGCATCTCTTTTGCAGGAATTTGAAGATGTGTTTCCGGATGAGAAACCAAGTGGATTGCCACCTATTCGGGGCATTGAACATCAGATTGATTTTATTTCGGGAGCCACTATTCCAAACAGGCCAGCATATCGAAGTAATCCCAAAGAAAAAAAAGAAATTCAGAAGCAAATCAATGAGTTGATGGAGAAGGGTTACATTCGAGAGAGCTTAAGTCCGTGTGATGTACCAGTACTGTTGGTACCAAAGAAGGATGAAATGTGGAGAATGTGCATCGATTGTCGAGCTGTGAATCAGATTACTATAAAGTATCAACATCCTATTCCTCGCCTAGATTATATGCTTGATGAGTTATGTGGTGCGAGTATCTTCTCCAAGGTGGATTTGAAGAGCGGGTATCATCAGATTCGAATGCGAGAAGGTGATGAATGGAAAACAGCCTTCAAGATAAAATTAGGGAAGACTCAATGAACATAACCATGGAGAACATTAAGAGTCCAAACTCATTCATTCATGAATTTAATCCTTTCCTTTTCTTTGATTCTAAGTTATCTACTTCTAACTTTGTTTTATTTTTCAGGTTGTTGATTCAGAAAAAAAAGACTTGAACATGTGAAGCATTTTGAGCAAAGAAAACGGTGCAAGATGAGAATAAAAGAATTTCCAATCCAACGAAGATCCAAGTTGTTCCCTTATGTACCAAGCATCGATTTGGGGACAAATCGCCTTAAAGAAGGGGGGATGATGTGATCTTGCCAACCACCAAGTTCAAACAAAACATGCTCACAACTTTGAAATTCTTCCAAGATGATTCTAAGGGAGTTCTTCCATATTTTATTACTTATTTACTCATTTATGCTTTATATTTGTTATAAGTGTGCTTTTACATTCTAAACTATGCTTGAATATTCATATATTATCCTATGTTTGCATTCTATTTGAAATTCATGCATGTAACATCTTTAATTAGTTTATTTCATGCATACGTTACACATTCCTTACTTATGTTATCATATCAATTGCATTCTTATGTTAGCCATGGAATCATGTGTTACATTTGAATATTACTTATTATTTATTCATGAACTTGAGCATTGTAACTTATATACATTTTGTATTTAGTGGAAGGTACATACAAGGCAATCCAGTGGACAGTTCACGTCACTCCTATTGATCGCCACTTTTGGAACATGTTCCAAGTATCTTTGGGTGATGAAGTCTCTTAACATTTAATCCTCTATCTCTTAGATCTCAAACTCACTTTGAATCATATCAATCTGATATTGGGAGCTCAAGATATGCCTAGATTAATTAAGACAGTGCAGGCTGGAAATAAGTACGGGATTTATAACCAAATGAAGAGCCATGTTCACACCTGATGCATTTCCACCTTCATGAATCCATTTATGGCGTGTACAATCATACAAGGAGGCTAAAGGACTTGTTTACATTCAAGGGAGATGGATGCATTATTTACAAACTCATTCACCAAATCCAAGTGCATGAAGGGAATCTATGAGTCACGTTCACACTTGGTGCATGCATTCCTGATGTAAGGTAATTCTACCTTCTCGTTTGATTGTGGATCTAGGAAGGAAGCAAAACAACCTGCACAAGTGAATGTCTTAAAACAGAATGGGTAAGGGTGGTAAACGTATGGTTTAATAGGTAGGCTATTTAATAAATGAGAGATGAGAGCGGAAGATGATTGAAATGGTTATGGTTATGGTGATGAAACAAAAAGGATGGTTGTGAGGATAGTATCTTGAAGAATGCTCAAAGAAGAACCAATGCTATAGAGACCAAAGACCCAATCTTTATATTGTTTCTTCAAGGGGTGGTGATAAGTACTTTGACCCACTAGTTATATGAACTAGGAACCAGAAGTATCAAGATGAAAGAAGAGGGTTGACGCCACAAGTATAAAATACTTGATAAGTCGATAAAAAGTTACCAGGACTTAAGAAAGAGAATAATTTCACTTCAATTAAAATAAAAGGTTTGATTACAATTGAAATAGGAAGGCCTATTTATAGTTTTTGAAGGGACTTGGCCGAATAGGTACATGTTTACATTCAAGGGAGATGGATGCATTATTTACAAACTCATTCACCAAATCCAAGTGCATGAAGGGAGTCTATGAGTCACGTTCACACTTGGTGCATGCATTCCTGATGTAAGGTAATTCTACCTTCTCGTTTGATTGTGGATCTAGGAAGGAAGCAAAACAACCTGCACAAGTGAATGTCTTAAAACAGAATGGGTAAGGGTGGTAAACGTATGGTTTAATAGGTAGGCTATTTAATAAATGAGAGATGAGAGCGGAAGATGATTGAAATGGTTATGGTTATGGTGATGAAACAAAAAGGATGGTTGTGAGGATAGTATCTTGAAGAATGCTCAAAGAAGAACCAATGCTATAGAGACCAAAGACCCAATCTTTATATTGTTTCTTCAAGGGGTGGTGATAAGTACTTTAACCCACTAGTTATATGAACTAGGAACCAGAAGTATCAAGATGAAAGAAGAGGGTTGATTCCACAAGTATAAAATACTTGATAAGTCGATAAAAAGTTACCAGGACTTAAGAAAGAGAATAATTTCACTTCAATTAAAATAAAAGTTGAAATAGGAAGGCCTATTTATAGTTTTTGAAGGGACTTGGCCGAATAGGTACATGTTGGTTCGGCCAGCCCTTGTATCTTCCTAAAATGACATGATTTTTAATGAAAAAACCAAGACTTTAATGAAAATACATGCTCTTGGCCGAATTGTTATGTGTTGGTTCAGCCCTAAGGATGATTTGAATGCATTTGGAAGTTATTTGGGCGCCAAAATGAAGAGGAAAGAGTCTTTGGCCGAATAGGAAGCATCCCTTGGTGTTTTGGCGCCAATTTGATGTCACATGGAGTGCACATGCTTGAATGATGCACGTGGCAGCCTACTTGAATGCACATGGGTGATCTAGGGAGCCTTGTGGTGTAGCCTTGTGCATGGAATAATGGCTGGTCATGTGCTCCATCTTGGGCGTGCATGTGTCTCCTCCTAGCTAGCTTGAATGTGGAGCTAGCTTAGCAAGCATGGGGCTGTTTGTGAACAAGCTTCCTAGCCGAGTCCTTGTGAGCTCCATAACATCATGTTCAGCCATATTCAGCTACCATTGATATCATTTTTGACAACTCAGTTCCAAATAGTCAAACTAGCTGAGTTTAGCTAGCCTTGAGCTCCTCCAGCTGAATTGAGCTTTCCTTAGTGTTCCATGAGCTGCCATGTTCCTTGTGAGCTGTTTGTGAGCTACATTTGATGTCCAAATAATCCACCAAGCTACCCCAACTTGTGCCATGATCCAATGTACCTACATGTGCAAGGAAACAAGGTAAGTCCATGGCATTGAGCTGATATGAGCTAAATACCTTGCTGCCATGCATGAATAAGGTAATGTAAGCCATGATTGAAGGTCATGAGCTAAATATATCATCTTATTATATGTATGAACTAATGCATAAAGCCTAAGTGCTAAAATGAATGCATAGGAGCTGATAAAATGAATGATAATTATGCTGCCTTGATGTATATGTGATAATCATGCTTAAATGAATGCAAAACGAATATGAAACAATAACATGCTTAAATGGATGTAAGATTAATCTAACATACTTATAATATTGTATCAATCATAAAGATATGGGTATATGTTGTATTCATGAATATCATATAACATGGTATTCATAAATGATAAATGGAAACATGTAATAATAAAATCCTAAGAAATGATATGTAATCATAGCATATATTTGAATGATATGAAAGACATGATCAACTAAGCATAGGATGGAAATAATAATATGATAATTTATACTAAAATGTGAATGCATGCTCATTATAGAATATAATGTATAAATGATATAATATAAGATAGGGTAATGAAGAACTCCCTTACAAACAGCAATGAAGAGCATCCATGGTGTGTTAAAGTCATGGAGAAAGTTGGAGCTAGTTTGGATCGTATCAATTCCAAAGGGGACCAAACCTACAAAGATACATTCCTCCAAATTCATACAAAGAAATGAAACAACATGTCCACACCAAGAGAGAATGAATTCGGCTATGAAGATATGTTCAATTAAATGGATAAACATTCATTTATTTAATTAGTCCATGAACTTGCATAGGGGTCGTACATTGTATTTCATAAGTGATGAACATTCATCCATGAATGTTCAATCATTAAATATTGTATGTGCATCCTAGACATCTCTTAGGTCTATAAATAGCTTTCCATTTCATTTGTAAGAACCAATTCACTTTGTTTAATCAAATATTTGTGAGAGTTTCTCTCTTTATGATGTGATCCTGTCTAGCACCAACTTTCTGCATTACATACTCACATCATTAAAAATCCATCAAGCTCAATATAAGGGAGTTCTACCTTACTTTATATTATAACCTATAGTTCACATATTTATAATATGCACATTCTTATTACTTTATAATAATTCATATACTTAGCTTATATTATGCTTTCTTTCGTAGGTACATGTTCGGCCACATGTTGGGTGCTGATTTAAAGCTAGCATGGGAGTTAATGAGCTAGGAAAACTTCCATAAGATGATTCGGGAGATCATGAAGAACAAATGATGAAAAGTTGTCAGCTGACCTCCGAGCTCATAGCTCACTTGAGCTGGACTTTTGAGCTAGCTAGAGACTTCATTTCAGCTGGAGAGTTACACCATCATCTTCACCACACAGAGCACTACAAATATGGTCTAGGTTAATTTTTGTGGATTCGTACCTTTCTGCGAAGAGTTGCCATTCCGAGAAGTGCCTTTTCACAAGGAGTTGTCCTATGACTTGTACACATGTCCTTCATCTATGGTCAGCTCAACTTCAGCTCAAACTCATGGGAAATAGCTCAAATGATGAAAGGTTGTTTCACACAAATGTGACCTTTCATAATTAGTTACTGCCCCATTGATGCCATGTCACCTAGACACATGTTTGATGCCAAGTCACGCCTAAGTTGCTGTTCATCTTCACGCCATGGAGGAGTCCACACCTTAAGCATTCTGCACCATCCATGTGAGTGCCACATGACCAGCCACCCATGTGCTTTGCATGTGAATGAAATAGGCGCCAAAATGAAGAGGCTTCTCTCTATTCGGCCTAAACATCATCATGCTTCAAGTTGGTACCAAGATGAAGAGATATGGGAACCATTCAACCAAAGACATCTCCCCTCATCCAAGCATCATTTATTTTCGTTTTAAGACATGTACTTTGCCGAAAAGGCATGTATGTATGGCCAAGCCTTTACAAATCTATAAATAGTCTTTGGCATTCATTTGTAAACAACACCCTTTGATATTAAAAATCCTTTGTGAGATTATTCTCTCTTCAAGTTGTTTTTAGAACTATATCGATTAAGCAAGCCTTTCTAAAGCTTGTGGCGTCATTCCTATCCCTTGATACT